AGACTGGTGCAACCACTGTGGAAATCAGTATGGAGATACCTCAAAGAACTAGGACTGGAAGTCCCATTTAACACAGCTATTCTCCTGCTAGCTATCTTCCCCAAAGAATTAAAAGAATCATACCACAGTAATGTATGTGCACCCATGTTCAAAGCAGCACAGCTTGTAATAGCTAAAACTTGGAAGCAAATGCCCATCAACTGGAGACTGGATAAAGAAAATGTGGGGTTTTTTATAAAATGGAGTAGTACTTAGCCATAAAAAATGAGAAATTAGGGACATTTGTAGCTAAATGGATGCACATTGAGGCGATACTCTTAAGTGAAATAAATAGGACACATATGTGTAAATACCGAATAGTTTCTCTAGTGTGAGAACTGAAAGTGTAAATAAGGATTAACGGTATAACAGATAATGTGAACCAGGAAGAAAAGGGGCAAAGGGGAAGGGGAAGTGGGAGGGGTAGGGGAATGGAAAGAAGGGAATGGAATTAATATGAGAAAAAGAAAAAAATGGAAACAAAGTTTTTGTAAATAGGGAAGGATGGAGGGGTTGAGGGAGGGCAGGGGAAGGGGAAAAAAATAAGAACCAAGAGAGATTATGTAAAGGTGCAAAATTCCAATGATGAATGTCATTATATTGTATACCTAAAATGTACCAATAAAATAAAATTTTAAAAAAATCCACATCTGCCATTCACTGTTGGTGACTGCTTAGCACTTGCAAAATGACAGTAATTATAGCACCTAATTTCTATCCCAATAGAAAGTTTTAATATAAATGAATTAAAAGTTAATGAATCAAATTGATTAAAAAGTTTAAACAATATTTTCTGAGAGATATCAAGTATTATATGAAGTATTTGTTAAATTAAAATATATTTATATAGATTTAAGTGGAAATTTCAAACACATAAAAGCACCATGACATACTGATTTATTAGTCAAGACTGAAAGCTACTATTCTGATATTATAGAAAAGAGGAGGAAAGGAGAAATAACAAGATATTTTGCATGATCAAATAATCATGCATGCAAAAAATATAAAGGTTTTGACGTACTTTTTGTTCTCTGGAAAATATTCACTTGAAAAGCTGAAAGACTTTACATTACTAATTTTGCCAATAAACCAAATGCTCAACTCATTACAAAAAGATCTTGTGGGGATAGACAATATAACAATATGTCTTGTGAATTAATTTTTAAGCAAACAACTAGAAATAATGGGTGGTCAATAATGCCTGTATCAAAAAATCTTTCCCATTTAATCAAGTAAGTATTGTATCTTCTACAAATAACAAAGCTTTAAACTAAACAATTCTTTCAGTTTTATATAAGTCTACACTTTTAGGTTCTGAGAGATCTGACATCAAGCAAAGGATTCACAATACTTTCTCTTAGCTGATAGCAGGTTTTCCACTAAACTGTGCTCCTTGATGTCCAAATCTATGTCCTGCTCCCTGTGTTATAGACAGCACCTACATAATGCCTCATACATTATAGGTTGAATAAACAATTCAATTCACAAATATACACAAATTCTATAAAAAATATTATACCTAATTTAGATTATCATACAAACACATGGCCAATGAAATTAGAATCTCAGATAAATATTAAATGATTGTTGGCATAAATATCTCCCAAATATTGCTTGTGACATATTTATCCTAAAAATTATTCTTTGCTATCTGCAATCTTTATTTCATTGAGTGACCTGTATTCTTATTTGCTGAATCTGGTAATTCTAAACTAGTTACAGTAATAAATTAAAGTTTATACATCTATTTCATTAGTCATTTATTGACAGCTTTTTATTTCATTAAATTATTAAATGTTACATTGCATACCTTCTGTGTGCTAGCCACAATCCTATGCACTTCAGATTCAGCAATAAATATTTAATGGCAGGTTTTCACTTCATGAAACTTTCATTTTAATGAGTGATTAGGGAAGATGAAACATAAGTGAAATATTAACTTGGCAAGATGATTGCGGTTCATGAGAAGTCCCATGAAGAAAATCAAGCAAAATGATAAGATCAGGATGTATGGAAGGTACCCTAGGTAGATATGAAGGACAACATCATTAAATGATGGCAAGAAGCCAATTGAGTAAAGAGCCAGGGAAAGGCCATGAAAGGAAGAAAGAACTGCCAGTGCAAAGGACCTTGGCAGACATGACTGTGACTATAGCAGGGCAAGAGTGAAGACCAGTTTGATTGTAATGGGCAGGGAGTTGAGGAGGGGTGAACTCGTAGTATAAGAAGAGTAAAAAACTGAAGCAAGAGCCAAATCATGAAGAAAGTTCCATTCTGTGGTATAACATATGGATTTTATTTAAGTAGAATGGAAACTACCAAAGTGGTTGTAAGAGGGAGTGCTGTGAGCTGACATATTTGGGACACATGAGGAAAATGGATGGGTGGGGTGAGGAGAAGGAAAGAGAAGCACCAGTTACAAGGTGTGGGATGCCATAGGATCATAGCACTCTGAGTGGATATATTCATATTTTGAGAACAGAAACCATAACGGTTGTGAATGATTTTAACTCTGGACCAGTGACGAGTCAGAGGAAAGGGGAGAAATCCTCCTCTTTCCTACTTCAAGGTGTACTGATGCTATGTATGTCCTTTTTATAAGAATAAATTGATCTCTGTCCTTCATTCTCAGTTACCTATATTGGCATCATCGGTGGTTAGCCTCTATTTCCTTGAACTCACTGATGTCTTCAAACCTGTACACTCTGGATTTAGCTGCTATGACCGGAGCCTCAGCATGCCGTACATTGAGCCCACCCAAGAGGCGATTCCGTTCCTCATGTTGCTCAGCCTGGCTTTTGCTGGACCTGCAATTACGGTAAGAACTGCCCCAAATTGCGTTTGTCAGCTCCCCCCTCCGACTAAAAATGATCCCAATTTTTCAATCAGTAAGTTAAAAAAACAAAGGCAAATTCTAAGTCTTGGACCAGGAAGATCATGTCTGGCATAGTTTGACACAAGCATCATGTAGTTAGCAGCTTAAAATTACTGGCATTAGAAAAAGACTACGTGATTTCAAACTGATTGATCTCTAATGATAACCTTAATAAATCATTATGAAAAGAAGTTTTATAACTATATACTTCTCCTTGATGCCTAATATGGGATATTTGATGCACTGCTAGTTAACGTACTTTCATGTATTTATTTGCTATCTGAAGTCTGTATAACTGAGGAAAACATAATTATATACCAACGTATTTTCTTCACAAAAGTGTTTTAGTATCGTTTAGAGTTTCATTTTTTGGTAGATTACCCTTTATATTGATTATGAGCACTGAGCTCCAATTATAAGAGGTAAAAATTCACATTCCTGGCATGCATACACATAAACAGAATAAGATGTTTTTGATTCAGAATAGGTATTTACATTATAAAATATGTACATCAACCAATGCCCTAATCAAACTGGGTATGGTGGCACACATCTGTAATCCCAGAACTCTGAAGGGCTGAGATAGGAGCATCACAAGTTCAAGCCCAGGCTGAGCAACTTAGCTACTTAGTGAGATCCTGTCTCAAAATAAAAATTTTTTAAAAGAGCTGAGGTTATAGTTCAGTGAAAAGACCCTAAGTTCAGTTCCCAATGCCAGGAAAAAATGTAAGTACCCTAATCTACTGGCACTGAATTTAAAATATAAATTTTTATGTATTAATGCATACCATAAAAACATACTTTTAGATAAACTCATTAGTAAATAGGATTAGCCAAGGTTTCTCACCACCTTTTTTGGCCCTGGACTACTATTCAAGGAATAAGAAGCATGTTTCAATGGGTAATAATATCTATTTCCACTTGCAAGGACTCTTACTTTACTTTGTTCATGCTCATGAACGTCAGTGCAAGAGCCCACTAAATTAAAAGCTCCATTTAAATGGAATTGTTTATAAGGTACTCTAATGAATCAGCTTATTGAATTTCAATACATCAGTAATTTTAGGAAAATCTCTGCATAGACTTTCAAAACTGTACATTATTTATGTACTATGAATTTGTTTTAAAATTCTGTATACTAATTATTTTAAGAATAAATGCATGAAATGCCAATAAATGCATGAAAAAATGTTCAATCACTGGCCACTAGAGAAATGCAAATTATAACAACACTGAGATTCCATCTCACTCCAGAAAGTATGGCTCTCCTAAAAAAAATCAAGCAATTTTCTAAAAAAAAAACACATTTTCTTTATCCAGTTTCCAGTTGATGGGCACTTGGGCTGCTTCCAAGCTTTAGCTATTACAGGCTGTGCCATTATGAACATGGGTGCACATAAATCACTGTGGTATGATTCTTTTAATTCTTTGGGGAAGATACCCAGCAGGGGAATAGCTGGGTCAAATGAGACCTCTAGTCCTAGTTCTTTGAGGTTTCTCCATACTGACTTCCACAGTGGTTGCACCAGTCTGCACTCCCACCAACAATGGAGAAGGGTTCCTTTCTCCCCACACCCCCACCAGCATTTGTTATTTGTTGATTTCTTGATAACAGCCATTCTTTCTGGGGTGAGGTGTAATCTCAGAGTTGTTTAAAAATGGAGTACTACTCAGCCATAAAGAATGAAAAACTAGAGTCATTTATAGCTAAATGGATGGATATCGAGGCCATACTCCTAAGTGAAATAAATAGGACACACATGTGTAAATACCAAATAGTTTCTCTAGTGTGAGAAACTGATAGTGTAAACAAGGGTTAAAATGATTAAAATGAATAATTGAGAATTTGAAATAGGAAAAAAGGTCCAAAGACAAAGGAGTGAAGGGAGGGGAAGGGGAAAGGAAAAGAGGGAAAGGAAAAACTATGAAAAAAGAAAAAAAAATGGAAATGAAATCTATGTAAATAGGGAAGGGCACACAGGTAACGAGGAAAAAATAAGAACCAAGATATATCATGTACAGGTACAAACACCCAATGATAAATATAAATGAATTGTATACCTAAAATGTGCCAATAAAATGTACCAATAAAATTAATTTTTTAAAAAAATCAAGCAATAACAAATGTTAGAGAGGTTGGGTACAGTATCTTCCCCAAAAATTAAAGACATCATACCAGAGTAATGTATCCATATCCATGTTTATAGCAGTACAATTCATAATAGCTAAATCTTGGGAGCAGGCTATATGTCCATCAACAGATGAATAGATAAAGAAAACATGATATTTATACATACTCTGTCATAAAGAAAAATCCACTAAGATCATTTGTAGGAAAATGGATGCACCTTGAAACCATAATATTAAGTGAAGTAAATCAGACGTGCAAGTTTAAATATTGTATAATTTTTCTTATATGAGAAACTAAGTATATAAATAAAGTACAAAATAAAAGATGGATAATAGTAAAAGAAAGAGAGAGAAAAGTTATTGGAATCCAGCATGGACAATGTATCTAAAAGTATACTTTGATTTAGTATAATTGTCTTATGTGTTTTGTATGTTTTTTTGTCCTGTTAATCTCACTGTTAATCTGTAAGTATCATAATTAATTTTATAAGGACTTACAGTAAATGAATCTGATGATGGCAAAAAATAATTATAATATTATTCACACTATAAATAAAATATATAAAATAATCTCAGAAGATAAAACTAGAATTTAATTTCCCACTGAACTTTATCATCAGACTTAAATAAAGGCCTGAAACACTTTGCAAATTACAGTAATAAGTTACTCAAACTGCAGTGACTCCAGGTTGATTAGAACTATTAAGGATATACTAGGAAATAGCTGAGATTCAGAAATGTATTTTTAAAGGGTGATATTGCTCAAAATAACAGCATCTTCATGTCATTTTTCTAAAAACTTTTTTTAAAAATGCTTCTCAGAACAGAAATAATACTTCCTTTAAATCTCTCATACCAGAAAGCATTTCTAATTGGTGTAAATTGGCCAAATTTATTATAACTGATATATTTGAAATAAAATACTATACAAATGTTCATGATTCTGCTGAAAAGACTGTTGATATTTAATTACATAATTAATTTGCTTTTTTTGAGCCTAGATGTCTTTCGCTAAAGTGTTTTAAAGCAAGTCTATTAGGATGATCCTAGCCAGGACCATTTATCTCAAAGTAGGGTCAATGACCTTGACCTCCTGACTCTGTTCTTGCTTCTGCTGATTCCTCTACTTCCTAAAAAGATTCTCAATGCAATCTTTAGGGTTTCTTTCCTCTATCTATCTATCTATCTATCTATCTATCTATCTATCTTCTTCCCTCTCTTCCTTCCTCCCTCCCTCCATTCTCCTTACTTTCTATCTTTCTGTCTTTCTTTCTTTCTTCCTAATTTTTGTGGCACTGGAAATTGAGCACAGGGCCCTCACTCTGAGCTTACATTCCAAGACTTTATGATTTTTTTTTTAATTTTGAAACAGTGTCTCACTAAGTCACTAAATTGACCAGGCCAGGCTCAAACTTGCCATCCTCCTGCCTCAACCATGGCACCGCCATGCCCAGTTGATGACTACAGCTTTTAGGCACTCAATAAGATGCAATTTCAGAGTAGCTTTTGTTTTGTTTTTCATTTGTTTGTTTGTTTTGTTTGCTTGCTTGTTTGCTTGTTTATGTCCTGGGGCATGAACCCAGGCCTTCACACTGAGCTACATCTTCAGCCATTTCTATTTTGAGACAGGGTCTCTCTAAGTTGTCCAGACTCGGCTTGAACTTACCATCCTTCTGCCTCAGGCTCCCAGAGTGCCAAAATCACATGTCTATGCCATCATGTGCAGCAGGGGTGCTTTCTTTACTGAGCCCTGAAAAATGAAATGGAAATCCACCATGCTCCTTTCCACTAAACTCACCTGAAAATCCCAGGGCAAACTCTCTATGCAAGGCATCTCAATAGGGCCTCAATAGCTGCTGGCCCCCTCTTAATGGAAGGAGGTGCAAATTAGGGTACTATTTGCAGCTGGAGGCACCTAACTTCTCATATACCACTTGGAAACTCCAAAGGACTCCAGGATTTTGGTGTCTATTTTCTGCCATACTGGTTTCAGAGGTTTTGAGTAAACAACTTGGTGAGACAAATTTTGACATTGAGGACATGAAACACTGTTTTTCCCACTTTTCATTAAAAACATATTCCATATTCCTAGATTCCACTCTAATTTCATGTTTCCTTCTATTTCTAAGGTCTTCTCTCAAAACACCTTTCTCACCATAAATCCTGTGATGTCTGTAGTCATCTCGTTTTAAGACCCTCAGATTCTGACTCGAATCTTAGTACATGTTCTACTTCTCTTTTTCTCTCTCTTCCTGAAAGTGAAAATAGCAGATTCTAATCTGTGACTCTCAAGGTCACCATTTTCCTTCTCATCCTTATGTCAGCATAAACCTGTTCCCAAAACTGGGTCATAGAAAAAGAAGGAGGCAAGACCAAGTTACTTTTAGAACTGATTGGTGCGAGGTCAGAGGTTTCCATTTTCACCCATTCACCTGAGAAGACAAAACAAAACAAAAGACCTGAACTAATTTTTATCCAAGCATTCAAATATACATCATTTAGTGTTTGCTTCTCAGATTTTTTTGTGCTTTGAGATGTATTTAAAATTAGCTTGTATTCATGATATCCTACATGAACTGTAAAAATGCCTTCACATCTGTGAAATGCATATTCTTATTTCTATAAAATTACCTTGTGCTAGAAAATATCATCCTCAACATTCAATTTTTGTTTACTTTAGAGTGATAACAAAACAAGTGTTTTGTTTGGGTTCTATGGAGATTATTTCTCAGAAAACACAGAATGTCAAGGTTCATCATAAATCTTCATGAAATCTACATGAACAGAAAAAAATATGTGCTCTTTCTTCCTAAAAATACAACTTCATTACATATTTTTTAAGAAGGAATACATCTAATTTTATAGGAGAATTCCATCTGAATATTTTAACTATACAACAATGCCCTTCAGGAAAGGGTGGTTAATTTTCTACAAAGGAAGAATTGATGTATTATTCTATGAGTGGTGAAGTGTGTAGTGTCTACAGCACCTAGAGCAAGCATTTCCATGTTTGAATGAAGTGCTGATGCAGGATATTCATCACGATATATAAATGGTTAACTCCATGTTCAATTATTTGAAATAAACTCCTTTTGACTATTTCTATATTGGGTCAAAGGAGTTTATCATGCTTCCTGACTTTTACATGCATGATTATTGGCAGAGTTCTTTTAAGAAAATTATTTTTTAAATTTTTGTGCATATTAAGATTTTTCATGATGGTATATATTCCACACTACCTATAGAACTAAATATAGCAATTTGAACATGTAAAGCAGAAGGAAATAGTCTTCCCGCCATTAGTTAAAAGCTCACACTATCATCTTAAGCATTTCATAAAAATAGATCGTAAGGCAATAATAAGAACTTGGAAGTTTCCCCTAGAAAATCTAACCCCAACCATAATTTCAGCTCTAAGTATGGTTATAATCTTTATGGTGACAGGATCTCTTGCATCAGAGACTGTTAGTATCTCACGAAAATGTACTTTCTTCAGCTCTATACATTTTATACAAATCCACATCTAATTTCACAACTATCTGTTAGGAACAATAATCCCAAATAGTTTTGAACAATTGATAAAATACAACTCATAAATTCAAGTCTAGCTGCTATTGTACAGAATAACTAACCTGAATGTCCAAGGTAGTTAGCAAACACGACTCCCATAGTAAAAGTCACAAACAATCCAACAAGGCCAGGAAAGGAGGATAAAAGGTAAATATGAAATGATTCTTCTCTCAGAGTTTCCTAGACTAGTGAGAAACAAGCAAATGAACAATTAAAATCCACTTGAATAAAGCTATGCTAGAGACAAGGACAAAATCTAAGGACACCACCTAATTCAATTTAGGGTACAGTAAGAGGATTCAAAGAAAACTTCCTGAAGGAAGTGATGCTTGAATAATACTGAGTTCTAACAAATGACTCAAGTTTCTAAGAACTCAATATTACTCAGGCATAATTTCCTTGAGTCATTTATAGGAAAATGGATGCACCTTGAGAACATAATGTTAAGTGAAGCACATCAGACACACAAGTTTAAATGTCACATGGTTTCTCTTACATGAGAAACCCAATATATAAATAAAGTGCGAAATAAAGAACAGACAGTAGGAAATATCAAGATGGATCTTTGGTACAGAGGAAGGGAACCAAAAGATGGAGAGGGAAGGAGGGAGGGGAAAGAAAGGAGATTAAAAAAAGAGGGGGTGTGAAGTTCTGTGTACATGCACAAAGTCCCTATGGGGAATGTGATCATCATGTACTACAAACATATATACATATATGTGTGCGTATGTATGTATGTATAGATATAAATTCATATATGTGTATATATATGAATGAAGAGGACCAAGAGGACAGAGGGAAACGGAGGGGAAGGAGGGTTAAAAAAAGGAATTGAGGCCTGGAGATTTAGCTCAGTGGTCCCACCACCTGCCTCAAAAGCACAAGGTCCTGATTTCAATCTCAGTATCAAAAAAAAAAAAAAAGGGTATTGAGAGGTGTCATGCATACATATCAACTCCCCATGATGAATATAATCATAATGTACTACAAATATGTACCAATAAAAAAATTATATCTCATATGACCTAAATCCTACAGCAAAGTTCATTGTTCCTTGACTTCATATAGTCCCGATACTGTGGTATGGTTCTCTATTATGAACACATTGTCCAAATGGCTTATCTGTAGGAAATACTATCTTAGATTCTCTTGTAATTTGCATTCTCTTGTAATCTGCATTCTCCAATAAGATAGCCACTAGCCACGTGGCTATTTCAAGTTTAGATTTATTTATTTAATTTTTAAATTTGTGTAGTACAAAATTAAATATTGAACTCATTTGTAGTAGCTAAATCTGAAGTGCTCATCCACAACACATGAGTAGTGACTACTATATTAAACAGTACAAAAAATAGTTTCAGACTTCACAGAAATCTTTATGGGACAGCTGTGATCTACATAGTACCTTCATACATACATGCATAGTTTCCATAGGTTGATGGTTCTGTTTAAATCCAAAACTGTTTCCTCTAATCTGCTAGTAAAATATTCTTGATCCTAATTCTAGTACTTACTTTATTCCTCCTCAGTTATTCTGTTTTTATGATTTTAGAGGTGAAATACAAAGACTCTAAGAGGGCGAATCAGTCACCATGTCATTAGTTAAGGAAGTGTCACTGGGTGTTGTTGAGCAAAGGGTTTACAACCTGATTGCTCTGGCCACATGGAAATGCAGTAGAGTACAGAAGATGCAATAGAATATTCTTTCAGGGTCCTGACTGCTTACTTCCCACTGCTAGCCCACATACTCAGGATAAATTGCTTATACCTCTAAAGATTTTAAGAAAATACATCCTGGCTTTGTTAAACTAATGATGTGCTAAGACATGATATATAATTCTTCTATAGTTAATATAACAAGTATACCAACATTCTTTTGGCTACATCACCCTTTGCCTTTGCAGATTATGGTAGGGGAAGGAATTCTCTACTGTTGCTTGTCCAAAAGAAGAAATGGAGTTGGACTGGAGCCTAACATTAATGCTGGAGGCTGTAACTTCAACTCTTTTCTTAGAAGAGCAGTCAGATTTGTTGGTGAGTGTGGGGAATCACAAAGAAAGGAAATGTTTTTTCCAATAGAAATGTTATACTTAATTACAGATATTAAGTCTCTAAAGCTATAATTTAGACATATAATTTCAGTACATGATGAGTTTTACTTTATATAAGAAACTGTTAAAACACCAAAATTTAGGCTTTGTATCTGAAATGTATTATTTACAGTCATGCTCCCTGCTTTGAGATCTAACATGCCATGCATTTCAGTATATTTTTGTTTTCACTCTAGTTAAAGCATGAATTTACATTAAGAGGATTTTGCTGAATATGTGCTCAGATTTTTTAAATGGAGATTAAATGTCAGCAGGCCAGGAAGAATAAATAATCCTTCAGAAATTAGTCACATCAGTGATTCCATTTACTGAAGATTTTTTAATCAGGAAGTTTCTTCACTGGAAATGTCACCATAGAGTACTGCATCATAACTATTTTCCCTAACTTTAATTTCCAACTTTACCTCCTGCTGTTCATAAAACTTATAGGCAATATATAGGCCTGGATACACAGCGGCTGAATTAAGTCAGTTTCTAAATGCTCATCTCTTCTAATAAAATGTGACACCTTAGTGAATTTTGAGCCACATGCCTTTTTCTATTTGTTTAATTGAGTTGAGTGGTCACCCATAATATGTTACACCAAACTGAATATCACATATTTATTTTCAATATGTCAGTATAAAGTTACTTTTACCTATGTCAGTTCAAAAGGAATACGTAGCTTCATTTAATATCTATTTGATAATTAAACACAACCTTCTCTTCCATGAGAGGAAACATCTGATCTAAATGATTCTCCAAATTCGGCTCCCCTAAGCATTTTCTTACCATCATATCAAGGTGGTGAAGAAAACAGCAGAACCCTTAGCAGGATTTGAGGCAAGAAAATAAAACTCCAAGACACATACCTGATTTCAGAGGAAAATTTCCCTAACAAGAAAATACTGTGGAAAAATGGTCTTTTGCTGCTGTCTCTGAAATGCTGTCAATAACCCTCCATAGGGCTGGAGAGTCTCATTATCTGAAAGTAAAATAATGATTTTTCCTTCCTTATTTTAACTCTTCTCCGAGATTTTGCATGCTTATAAGATTTAGAATGTAAAAATAAAGTTTCTGTTTCATAAATCCTAGGTGTACAGGTGGAGAAGGAATTGAAGGAGTGGTGGATAAATGACAAGAGCCAGAGAAGAAAGATGCAAAACAGGATAATGTGCAAGCCAGTGGCTCTTGGTCTAGAGGGGTCTAGTTAAGAATTACCCGGGTTCTTCTCATAATTTCTGTGAACAACTCATAAATAAGAATCCAGGTGGTCAAGTCAGAATGAATTCAAAGAGTCAAGTTGACCTGGAGAGATGTGGCAAGTTCTAGATCATGTGTGTAAGAGGAGAAAGCTAGACTCCCAAAGAGGAAGCCAAGAAAGCAACTTCAAGGAAGCATAGAGTTTGGATGCCCCAGAGTACATCAGGATTTGTTACTTGTGTTTTAAGACTGGCCACAGGAGACAAACAAAAAAATTATAGAATTTGGACAAGAGATATAAGTACATCATCCTCAAATTCCAGACATTCAAGCAGATTCCCATACCCTGTACCCAGGATAAATTGTTTCTATGACAGACCCTGCCCACCCTCTTTTCTGTTTTAATTAGCAATCCTACATGACTACAGCTTGAAGTTAATGGGAAGGACTAGGGATCCAGACCATCAGGAAAAGATCTATCTTTACCAGCTCAACAGTGCTCAGCAATTTAAAATAATTTTTAATTTTGCTTTGTTCCCCATGTTCAATTCCTCTCAAATCACACAGTTGATCATCTTAACATGCTCCAGGTGACTGACAAGTGACCTATGATAAATAATGTTAAGAACTATCTCTAATAAAGGTGAAAAACGTGCCTTACATTATTACTGTGAAAATACTGCTCTTACTTTGCCCTTAAGTATCTTTTTAGAAATCTGGGGGATTTTATTACTATCTTCTCAAAGTTAATTTAGACAAAATGGTGACAACAGATTTTAAAGTTTGCAAATTAATATGTAATTCAAATTATTAAAGTTGATCTAATATTAGCATTAGCCATCAACTTGGTAACTTGTTTTCATTTTTCTTACAGGTGTTCATGTGTTTGGACTGTGCTCAACAGCTCTCATCACAGATATCATACAACTGTCCACAGGATATCAAGCCCCATACTTCCTGACTGTGTGCAAGCCAAACTATACCTCTTTGAATGTGTCTTGCAAAGAAAATTCCTACATTGTGGAAGACATTTGTTCAGGATCTGACCTTACAATTATCAACAGTGGCAGGTTAGAAACTAAGACCTAAAAGCATTCCATGTCAGTGTTCTAATTATTCAGTAATTTTTTGGAATACCAATGTTAAGTATGCCTTTTTCACTCATAGTGATTTTACTTTGTTTTTGTTTTTATTTTCAATTTAAGGATCTTTTAAATAAGGATAACATAAAACCCATATATGGCTCATTCGAAATCCTTCTCTGTCTCCAAATTTCAGCTTTATAGTCTTGCTACTCATCCTCATAATACTGAATTCCACTCATATTTAGTTATCTGCTCATTGTGGTTTTCAGTTACCACAATGAACTTATTATAGTATATTTAGGGTCCGTTAGGGCTTACTAAACATCTGTCATAATTGTATCTTCATTATAATTTTATCAAAAGAATCATGTGAATTTTCCCTATGGTTAAGTTTGAGAAGTGTAATATTGAGAATGGCATATGATTGCTTTGAATAAACCCAGATGATCTAAATAGCTCTGGCCTTACACTTCAAAAAATAAGGAACAGCAAAACTCAAGAAATTACATTGAATTTTGAATGTATTTCATTTTTTCAGTCAGTAAATTAAAAATAAATTCTGTGACAGCCAAATTACCTGAGAAACTCAAAAGAAATAGATCACAGAGAGATAAAGGCCAACAGATGATTATTATAAGGATCAAATTTATCATTCAATGAGCTCTCAAAGATCTATTGAGCAGTGAAAAATAAGTTGATGAGTACAATTGAAGAATTAGAATCTGATATTGTGTGATTATACATATTCAACTTCTCATAGACAATTCAATAATTCTGAACCTACATTCAAGACTTATGTCTATATTCTTTCTCAATCCTATTACATTACCTGGGTTGAGTAATCAGAGCCAAATAATTAGGACAGTATGAATACAAATAAATATTATTTTTCTAACTAAGTCCCTATTATTTTTGCCTGCTTTTTTCCATATATTTTCCACTATTGTATGTTCTACCCCTGCACCTTGCTCTTTTCATTGTTTAACTAAATACAATGTTCTATGATTCTTGAGATGATAATTGCTTTAAAGCAGTATATAATGACAAATATTTTGTTTAAAATATACTTCTTTTTTTTAGAATATGAAAGACACATTCAGATCTACTGCTATAAAATAATTTTAATTGTTTATTTAAATGAAATATATATTTAGAACCACAGAGAAGATTTTAAAGCTTTAAAATCCTAACTTTTATGAACTTTTACTTTAAATTAACGTAATCCTAATAGGGAAGACCAATTGTTTTCCAACCCATTTCTACTTTTAAATGTAATTTCTGTAGTATGATCACCTGGACCTTTGTCCAGCTGATATTTGTTTAAATTGGAACGTGCATCCTTACTATTCTTTAATACTACTGGTGATTAGCAGTGTGTTTTTTAAATCATTTTTTTGGTTCCCCAGAAACTAAATTAAACTCTTTGCTTTTTGCTTTGTGGCTGTAAGTTCAATATTTTAACCCCTGGGTGTTCTTGGAATGATTGCTAGCAGTGTATCTGAGCTAAAAGGCATAATCTGACTGTATTCCTTTTGGCAGGAAGTCATTCCCTTCTCAACATGCGACCCTTGCTGCCTTTGCAGCTGTGTATGTTTCGGTAAGTACCTGGTTCTTTTTCCTTAAATTGTGTCCCACAGAAAAATCACAGGAATAAATGTTGTCTCCAGATAACTGATTAGATTGTAAACTTCAGTACTGCAGCCCTTCAATACAATGGCATTCAAAGCTGAAATCAGATAAAGTAATACTAGAAGAATAACAACAGTAAAATAATTTTTCTGTACAATCACATTTATTTAGCCTTGAATCCTTGTCATACAATATTATGTTTTGTGGGAGGGCACTGTGAAATAGATGAATGTTACAAATACTAAAGCTGAAGGAATTGCATAAAGTATACACAAATACACAAACACACTACTTTCAGTACTTATATAGCTGTGGGAAGCTCTAGGTCAGTGTAAACTGGATAAGTGTTGTACAATGGGTAGTCATTTTATCTAATTAATATAATGGCCCATGAAGCATTTTTATGAGAAAAAAATGGAATAAATTTTGTGACAAATTTCATGATGATTAAACAGATGTCTGACCATTTCTACTGGTTCAATTTTTTCAAATTTTATATAATTTAATAAAAGACTTGTTATCTGATGAATTTTGCCATTCATTTTCCTTCTTGGGAGCTAGGGAATATAGTCATAGCAAGGGGGAATGGAATGGTAAACTTGATGTCTACTATATCATTTTGATTTCTGAATTTAACTTTTTACTTGATTAGAATTTTCTGACAAGATGATCCATCTAACGTATTCAACCCACTTCTTTCATTTTTAAGATGTACTTCAATTCTACATTAACTGATTCTTCTAAGCTTCTGAAACCTCTCTTGGTTTTCACATTCATCATCTGTGGAATCATCTGCGGGCTAACACGGATCACTCAATATAAGAACCACCCAGTTGATGTCTATTGTGGCTTTTTAATAGGAGGAGGAATTGCACTGTATTTGGTAAATAATTTATTATTATAATTGTTTTATTTTTATTATTTGATGAACCACTGTTTATAAAGAAAAAAATGCATAGAATTTTTTTCACAATAATAATTTAATACAATATATTTTATAAGAGTTTCATAAGAAACTCTCTGGCAACATCTCCACTCTATGCCAAACTACATACCCCACTTTCAATAAAATAATTTATTGAATTCTATGAGTCAAAATCGTGATTTGAGAAGAATGATTGTATTTTATCCTTACAGCAAGTTGCGGGGGATCTAGAGGAAGGGAGAGAAGAGAGAGAGACTATGATTACTAATACAATTATGATTTTATAGATGAGAAAAGTGAATATTAATGAAAGTGAAGAGGGTACATAATTTAGAGAGAGGTTGCATAAACCCAACACAAATGTAGCATTTGAATACAGCTATCTTCCAACTAAAAGTAAACTCCTCAACAGTAGGTTACTTTCACATCTGATCTCTGACATAAATATATGCAACATAAGAAAATTGAGATTGTCCATTTCGCTGTCATGCATTAATTCGTTTTACATTTATTTAATATCTAGTTTTTGTCAGGTACTAGGCTGAACTTTAAAACAGTGAAAAATAAGATGCATTTTGAACAATGTGAAAACTAACATAAACACGGTTATGATATGTTAAATGATATAATATGATATTTTTAAAAGTACTTTGGGAATAGCAAACTGCCTAAGGGATATAGAGAAGCCTTCAGAGAAGTGACATGTTGTTTTAAAAAAAATAGAGTTTTTTTAGGGAAAGGAAAGGGAGAAGGGTATTCAAGGTGTGGAAATAACACTTGCAAACAGAGGGACACTGAAAGGTCAAGCATAAGGGGACAGGAGAAATGAGAGATGATGGCCAGATTTTAAGCTTAAAGACTGGGCTGATGGTGACTTCATTATCAGACCAGGTAAATAACAGAGGAAACACATTTTTCAGGGAAAAGGAAGAGAAGTCAATTGAATAAATAGGCACTAAATTCTTGTGTCTGGAGTTCAAAAGAACAATCAGCACAGAATAAATAGATTTGGAAATCATGGACTCTATTGTTACAGATATTGTAGTTTTTAAAGTATATAAAATGTCTAGCCTCTAAGAATAAAAAGGAATGAGGGACTAGCAAAAGGCAAGTGATGCAGAGAAGAAACAGCAATAATGAAGGAAACCGAAAGGAGCTGATACAGGAACAAAAATTAGTTGTCTGTAGCTGCGCTTGAAAATGACATTAGAGAAAAGGATTATAAAGAATAGTAAAAGTACTCAAGTGTATAAAGATTTACTTTTAATTTAGTAGAGTCAGAATTGTCACTTTAAATCCTGCACTTACTCACATGATCTCTTCACTGGAGGAGAAAGGATCACATTAAAGTTAGTGTGCTAGAAATGGGGCATAGTCTTAGGTTGTCATGGAAATATTCATTGACAATGAGTGTTACAGAAGAAATAAAATGGCTGAAAACTGCCTCTCTGTAGTTTTACGTTGCTTTTGCTTGTGTTGAAGTCATAGTGTTCTAGAGTTTGCATAGGCTTTATAGATCAAAGAATTTGAGTATGAGTTTCAATTTTCCTGCTTATTGGCCAAGTTATGTAGCTTTTCAGAGCCTGTTTTTTCATTGATAAGATGATAATAATTATCTGACTCATGTCATAACAAGAACTAATCGACTATATTGCCATATGCAACATTGGATACTGGAAAGTACAGTCAGAGCTTACAGATTCTTGGAGGATTTACTCAAACTTGCACTTCTAAGTAAAATTATTAATAGAACATTAGGTAGTTTGGTGAATTCTGATGGCAAAACATCAGATACATTATTTAAAAGATGATTTTAACCGGGAATTAAAATAGCTAGAGATGCAGGAGCTTGAATCATTTCTGTTTTCACTCTGTGCTCTGAAATTGGAAATTTATCAGTTCTAAACCCATCCTGCTGTTCATTATGGTATTCTGTACAATGTTAAATCCATGAAATTCAATTACACTTGAAAAGTAGACAGTGGCTATCTTCTATTAAAATTAGCACACAAGTACATTTCTGCTGCTTGATCTTATCTCTAACTCAAGCATTTTAAAAAACTGAAAACTTAGCAGTGACTATATCTTCCAAATGTAAAAAGGGTAAAGATTTTGAGTCTGAACTTTAGCATTTTCCAAATTTAAAACAAACAAAGATTGATAAACTGTGTATAAAGACAAAATAAAATAAAATTTGGTTCATATTTAGGGCAATGGCAGTACTTAACTGAAATTACCCAGTTGAAGGTAAAGTTTAAATCAGGAAAGAATGTGGATACCCTAAACTTGTTCTGGACCTTGCCTGCCAAGAGCACCCTCTACAATGCTGAGCACACTAGGCTGAACCCAGTGTGAGTCGCAACAACATCTGTCTCTGACTTCATTTCAAAACCTGATATCATGTTTTATGAATGATCCATTGTTCTATATTTTCTGCAACTTTTTAGATGTCCAATGTACTATATGATTGAAAATGGAAGTAAAATAAATCATTTAAGTTATTTGAGGTGTCACTCAATAAGAAGTTCTTAAATCCAGAAGAATGAATTGCTTTGAAAGGCAAAATGTCCTCATTACTCTCATTGTCTGCCTTTTACAAATATACACAGGGTTCAGGGCATGGTGGTGCACACCTGTTATCCCAGTACTCAGGAGTATGAGGCAGGAGGATCGCTGTGAGTTCGAGGCCAGCGTGGGCTACATCGTGAGTTCAAGGCCAGCCTGAATTGCACAGTAAGATCTGGTCTCAAAAAAAAAAAAAAAAAGACTTAAGACAAAACAAAACAAAAATGCACAGGGCAAGTGGCAACACATCCAGTGGAATGAAGGAAGGACTGAGGTCCATGCTTCTGAGAAATTAGTTCACTCACTTATGAGATAGTTTACGAATTATTTCCCTAGAAAGTTTACTTTTAATTGTTTTCTTATGTATAGTAGTCGGTGGTGTACAGGGTCACAGACTTTATTCATGCACATCAATGGGTACTCTAAGGGAAATTCTTAGTAACTACGTCTTCCAATGCTCGATAGTTTTTGTTTTCCCTTCAATACCAGGGCCTGTATGCTGTGGGGAATTTCCTGCCCAGTGAAGAGAGTGTGTTTCAGCACAGAGAAGCACTCAGGTCTCTAACAGACCTCAATCAAGACCCCAGCCGGGTTTTGGCTGCTAAAAATGGTAGCAGCAGCGATGGAATTGCTCACACAGAAGGCATCCTCAACCGAAACCACAGAGATACAAGCTCCTTAACAAACCTCAAAAGGGCGAATGCTGATGTAGAGATCATCACCCCTCGGAGCCCCATGGGGAAGGAGAACATGGTGACCTTCAGCAATACCCTGCCCAGAGCCAACACTCCGTCGGTGGAAGACCCCGTCAGAAGGAACGCGAGCATTCACGCCTCTATGGATTCTGCTAGATCCAAGCAGCTCCTCACGCAGTGGAAGAATAAGAATGAAAGTCGGAAGTTGTCCCTGCAAGTTATGGAGTCCGAGCCAGGGCAGTCACCGCCCAGATCCATAGAAATGAGGTCCAGCTCGGAGCCCTCGAGGGTCGGGGTGAATGGAGACCACCATGGTCCAAGCAATCAGTACCTCAAGATCCAACCCGGCACTGTCCCAGGCTGTAACAACAGTATGCCTGGAGGGCCCCGGGTGTCCATCCAGTCCCGCCCCGGCTCCTCACAGTTGGTCCACATCCCCGAAGAGACCCAGGAAAACATTAATACCTCCCCCAAAAGCAGCTCGGCTCGTGCCAAGTGGCTGAAAGCAGCCGAGAAGACCGTGGCCTGCAACCGGAGCAACAGCCAGCCGCGCATCATGCAGGTGATCGCCATGTCCAAGCAGCAAGGCGTCCTGCAGAGCAGCCCCAAGAACAACGAGGGCAGCACGGTCTCCTGCACCGGCTCCATCCGCTACAAGACCCTGACAGACCACGAGCCCAGTGGGATCGTGAGAGTGGAGGCTCATCCGGAGAACAACAGGCCCATCATCCAGATCCCGTCCACCGAGGGAGAAGGCAGCGGCTCGTGGAAGTGGAAGGCTCCTGAAAAGGGCAGCTTGCGCCAAACTTACGAGCTCAACGACCTCAACAGGGATTCAGAGAGCTGTGAGTCCCTGAAAGACAGCTTCGGCTCTGGAGATCGCAAGAGAAGCAACATTGATAATAATGAACATCACCACCACGGAATCACCACCATCCGCGTCACCCCCGTGGAGGGCAGCGAGATCGGCTCAGAGACGCTGTCCATCTCTTCCTCTCGCGACTCCACTCTGCGAAGGAAGGGCAATATCATTCTGATCCCTGAAAGAAGCAACAGCCCCGAGAACACCAGAAATATCTTCTACAAAGGAACCTCTCCCACGCGAGCTTATAAGGATTGAGTGATGACCATTCAGTCGTTTGGGTGACCCCCCCCCCAAGACCACATGATGATTCTACTGTTCCAGAGGATTAGGAAGCCGCCTCGCCAAATTAGATTGTTCACCATCAGCCTGGCAGCCCGGAACTCTACTAACTCTTGAGAACTACCACACTGAACTTGTAGACTTTACATCAAGGGAGGGGAAAAGCACAATGCAAGAACCTAACTAATGTGATGATGTGAGGAGTTTTCTTTTTAAGACCTGTCATCCAATTTAAAAGGTTTTGCAGAGGGTGGTATCAAAAGAAAGTGGTTTCCTTCTATGTATACTATTTTACTTCCTGAATGTGCCAACTTTGGAGATTTTTTTTTCTTTATAATTAGCTGTAGGAATCCACAACACACAGGTTTTTCCCTACAGCAGAGGCCATGCAGTATTATATATTCACTTTACAGAATCTGCACCTCAAGCTCAGTATGGGTGGTGCTGATTATTATAGTACATATACCATGTAAACTCTCAAACTTATTTAGCTGTGAAGTAGTGGTGTGCAATTCCTTGTCAAAGAAATGCTACTTTATTAAGAAGATGCTGGCTACTTTGTGTTAGAGTAGGACACCCGCAGCTTCCCCATAGTGGCTCTCACAGTAAAGATAAAAACAAAATGTTTTATGTGCATTTCTTCAAAATTATGCTTTCTTCAACATCAACACTGTATAGAAATATTTTCCGTGAAAGGGAATAACTAGTACTTTTTCTGCATAGCTTTTCTGCTGCTTACTATTTATTTAAGTACAGGTACTGATAATGAAGGATCTATTTTCAGTGAGTAAATTTGCATAATTTGAAAAATACATTGTTTTAGAGAATCTTTTGAAATTGTGATTATGTTTTGCATTTTGTGGCTTGACTTTAATTTATTACTTAATTTTTTGACATTCTAGATATGTTCTACTTTAAAAGCAAAAATAACAATTGACATTCCCTGAAAAAAACATACTGCTGTAAAGTTACACTCAAGAAATCTGAGCCAAAACTTGACATTGTGGGTTATATTGCCAGAAATATTGGTCAAGTCTACCCTTAGATGCCTCCAAATAGCTACTTTAGGTTGCAATCTTAATGAGCAAGTAATGCAAAACTTTCATTTTGTCCCAGATTAATTTTCTTTTTCAATATCCTGATAACCAGTAAATTAAAATCACAGTGGCTGAGTTTTAACCTCTTCCCTAAAAAATTTCTGTGAATTGAGCACCCAACAGGAAAATCCTGGGGGGAAATGCAAATTGATAAGTAAAAGTATCTCACAGTATAAATTCAGAATGTATTTCTTCAAAATATCTGAATGACCACAGCTTTATTGCTTAACAATCAACAGTTTTTGCTACCTATCTTGCATTAAGCCTTGAGCCTAAATCAAAGGAAACTAATACTATCAATTAAAAAGAAAACAAAAATTTTTGAAGCATTTTCCAAGTTAGATAAAGTGTGAAGAAATATTTGGTTCTTGGAATTTGGTATTAAACCTTTTTTTTAACACCATTTCTTAAGAATTCTAATGCACACTTGATGATTGCCAAGAGAACACATGGAAACAACACAAGCTGGTTGATCTGACCTTAGTTCAGTTTTCAGTAAGAACAAGAACTGTTCGGACACAATAATATCACATCATTATCAGCGTCTATGGGAAAAGGGCAGGGCTTTCTTGAGAAGCCAGCCTCCTAAAGCATTAGGAATTTAGCTGAAACCAGCAAAATTGAAAACTTGGCAATAAAATACAGACTCAACCATAACCCTTCTGGCAATTTCCTTCTCAGAGAAGGAAGTGGGAGTAAAATGCTGCCTTCCCCACTTCTTACCATCGCCACCATCATGACACTCCTACTGGCTTTTGCCAATATATAGAGGGAAAGATGGGCTGGTTTTAGTACTCTGAAGAAAAACTAAGCTGCAGCATTTCAGGTGCAGTGCGATATTTCCTAATATTTCATATTTCTTAACAAAATATTTTAAAGTACTTCTCTAGTCACTGAATTCTTTTTCTTTACATAATATTGATATATTCTTTTTCTACTCAAAGTGCCAAAGGCTACAGTTTTTAATGACTTAACTAATTGTACCACATTGTTAAGGAAATATAATGATAAACACTATAACTCAGACCTCTGCATGTATATTTGATAATACATCTTTTGTAAAGAAAATTACAAAAAAATTTGTTTACATTCCACTGGTACCTTAATTTAAGATAAATCAGACTAACAGGTGGTATCTCTTCTTAGTGTTCTATTATCTTACTTGCAAATGGGAGCACTTCTTCCTTTGTTAGGCTGTGCTTTATTGATAAAACCAAGTATTGAATAAAGAGAGTCAATTATCTTTTTAAAGTAAATAAATTATGAATACATATAATATATATAAAATATTGTGTTTAATAAAATGTTATGCAATGTTTTCCAAACTGATAAAGTTTGTAAAGTGCTATAAATGTATTTTGTTAAGTACAGATCAGAGCTATTGTGTGAGTATATTGTGCTAACATCATAGAAATAAAGATTAGATTTCTTCATCAAAATTGAAATATTTTGATTTTACTTCAGTGTATGAATGAATAATGCCTTGGTTGACAGGAAAGCAGATCAGGAACTAGGAATAAATCAGAACTTACTAAATACATAGTAGTTTAGAAAAAAATCACACTAAGAAGTTTGTCAAACATGTTTTTTGTTTACAATTTTTACTTTATATTTATCAAAGGAGCTCTTTTACACTTATTTAGATATGGATTATTTTACTACCAATGCCATTATGCTATCAATATTATGGAATATTAAAAAGAAAATATGAGTCAAGTGTTCAGAATCATTTTCTGCCTAAGAATAGAACCTGTGCACATTTCCTGAAATATTACCACCCTTTGTGCACCCATGGGTGTGGATGTTGCAGCTTTTCTTAAAAGATTGCTTCATTATCTCTTCCAAACTAAGTATGTAATTATATGAGTTTTACTGCCAATACTTCTTCACCTTGGTAGAAGGTATTAACACAAGTTTTCAGGTCACAATCAGACTTCATGCTTTATGATCTTTAAGTGTCATGCAATGTAGAATGAAAGATGCAATTAACAGTTGTGCAGAATACCACCAACTTCAAACAACTGCCCAGTAGCAATCAAGCAACTACATCATGACTGCTGCCTAAAGAGGGATTAAAACATGTGAAACAACAATGTCTTATTTAGAATGGTTGAAACACATTTCTCAGTTTTGCTCTTTTTCACCTCTAAAACAGGAACATTCAGCTATACTACATTTTATAAAGGATAGTTGGACATCCCTTCTAAATTTCTCTGAATTAGCATTATGTTTTACCCAGTAAGCAAAATTATTGATATGATAATAGAAAATAACTTGCTGACCTAAAATGACTGATTAGTGTGTATTATCTTCTTGGACCACAAGGTTAATAGAGGCAAAATGATTTGGGTTGCTGAGAGCCTGTACCAACAATTTTACCATATAATGCAACAAAATAGGTGACTTGTATACATGCACCCCTAGTTTTAGTGCCTTTGTCAGGAGGAACCAGGTGAGGAGATTCTAGGTTATACACCTAAGAAGCTATCATTAGGGACATGTAATTTCTGTCTTTTAAAGACTGAGTCCGGATTTAATGTCTATGGGTCATTTTCTATAGTTCAAAGGGAATATAGAAATTTATGCATGATCCAGAGAAAAATTTAATTAAAATTATGTACTAAAGCAAGAAGAATTGACATGGTTTAATCCAGAAGGAAAACATAGCCTGCAAAATGGAGGATTGTCTGCTGTGACATGATATAGTACTTAATTTTCTCTGGTGACTGTGTATGCCTTCTGCCTTTAATTCTCCAGAAAGCCTGGAAAATAATCCAGTACCAAATAGTCCACTTTGATGACAATATAGATTTCAGTAATAGCCTATGGATTATGCTAGCTAATGCCTAGTTACAGAAAATCATCAGTGAGCATGATACCTAGTTGCAAGAAAATATTTAGATGAGCCATTTGATCTAGATATATTATTTCATTGCTCAAATGTTAGTTGATGAAAATTCCTAATTATGTGCCTTTATGCACCACAGTCAATAGTGAGGAGTGGAGTTTGACTGAGTGCAGCTGCAGTTCTGTAGCCAATTCTACTTAACAAACTTGCAGAGCTCCCACTTAATCTCCTTCATACTTCTGCCCTTAAGATTCTTAGTCACTGCCATCAAAATTCTAAAGGTATCTTTCAAAAAAGTACAACTGACACAGTTTAAGGAAATTAATCTGAATAAGGAAATATACAAAAATTGCATCAATAGAAAATCTCCTTTTCCCTTAATCACCTTGGTTCCAAATCAATCTTCTCCATTCTGGGTCTAAGTTAATTAATGATAAGATATTTATGAAGATACAAAGAGGCTTTTTCTAAACTACCACAGAATGTGTAAAAGATTTAAATATAAACTGCAAAGCTTTTATTAGAAAAACAGGAGAAAATCCTTGGTTTTAAGACTAGCCTTTTATTAAATATTGATTTGTGAGTATTTTCCCCCTAGTCTATAGTTTATCTTTTCCTCCTCTCAATAAGGTCTTTCCTTTATGCCTCTAGGGATGTACAATGTATAGATTTACAACTGATAAATAAAAGTTGTATGTATTTAAGGTTTATTCTGTGGTACTTTGATATATGTATACATCATTAAACGATTACCACAGTGAAACAAATTAACATATCACCCCACATAGTTACCATTTTTTATGTGTGGTGAGAACATTTAAGATCTACTTTCTTAGCAAATTTCAAAGATAGAAGATAGTATGATCTAGAGTCACTATATTGCACATTAAATCGCCAGAATTTTTGCATCCTGCATAAATGAAATTTTTTATTCTTTGACCAACATTTCCCCATTTATCCAAGTCCCTATCCCCTGGCAACTACTACTCTACAGTCTTTCTTAACAGAGTTTTGCATTGAGCAAATGTTCTTAATTTTTATGAGGTGAGTTTCTTTTTCTTTTAAAGGCTATGTTCTTAAGGTTAAAACTAAAATATATGAATAAACTCAACCGTTAAAAGAAATAACCCAGTGAATAGTAAAATAGTAAAAGCACAAAAAATAGGCAAAATATGTGAAATATTTCACCAAAGAGGATATACAGATAGCAAATAAACATATGAATATTCAATATGATTAGCCATTTGGGAAATGCAATTTACAACCACAATGAGATGTTACTATATACCTATTAAAATGACAAAATTAAAAATAATATCAAATGCTACTATTACTGTAGAAAACCTGAATTAGTTATTCATTCTGATAGCAATACAAAATGGTACAATCACTCTGGGAAATGGTTTGGCAATTTATTTTAAAAACTAAGCATACTTACCATACAACCCAGTCAATAAAGTTTGGAGCATTTATTCCACAGAAATGATAATTTTTATCTACAAACAAAAATAAGGGTACATGTACACTCAAGTTGTTTTTTCAATAGTACCCAAAGACTGAGAACAATCCAGATGTCTTTCAGTGGGTGAATGGTTAAACCAGCTGTTCTACAACCATACAGTGGAATGCTTTCAGCAATAAAAAGAAATAAACTATTGATACATAAAACAGCTTGAATGAACATCCAGGTAATTATGCTGAATGAAAAAGCCAACACAAGCAATGTATATGCTATATGATTCCATCTTATGAAATAAACTATACAGATATAAGCAATCCATATCTGGAGAGGTATAATTATCCTAATTTTCCAGCAGTGGGAGGGGTCAGGGGGAGGAAGTCAGGACAAGCAGCTTCCTCGGGATGACAGGTAAGTGGGATCCATCCTTCAGAACTCATCTGTTGGCCCAGCTAAAATCTTTTGTCTTTCCTAACAATGTAGAAGAAAATGACAATGGTCCCTGGGGCTTTTTAAGTCCCTTTTTATCATTTAAGACTAAATCTCAAGTACAATTTTAGAACTTAAAGGGACCTGAGAGAGCACTACTCCCTTTGTGTATGATTACTGTAATTACCTATGCTTCAAGCTAGAGAAAAGTGAAAGGCACAGAGAAGTAATTTTTTTTTGGCGGGAGAGTACCAGGGATCAAACTCAGGACCTTGCACTTGCGAGGCAGGTGCGGTGCCACTGAGCTAAATCCCCAGCCCTACAGAGAAGTAATTTATTCAGCCACACAACTAGTGGGTTTCGAAAGGTCATGGGACAGGGAGCTCTTATTTCTATTCACTTTTTAATCCCTCGTGACTACCACATTAGCTCACCACACAGGTTGGGGACCCAAGAAGTGATTTGAAATGAATGCATCCTCTTAAAGTCTCAAAAAGGCTAAACTAATCTCTCTCTTTTGAGAATACTTATGCATTTCTTGGTTAATGATCAATATATTTACTTAATCATATAACTATATTAGTCAATTTCATTAATGAGGAATTTAATATTTACTATATACTAAACTGGAAACTCGTGATAAGTACTTCCTACCACAACAAGTGTTCAATAACTATAAGAATAATTGAATGAGCACAGTATATTCTGTAAATAATAAAGTCATTAAATAAAATAAGTAAATAATAGAATTTAATACATAAAGGGAAGAATGAGAGTATTTGGGAG